TACTTGAAAGCTCTCTAAGTTTCCCATCTCCTCTCTCAGTTCTGTGTTCTGAATGATTTTTTGATCAATCTACCCATTAAATGATAGTCTAATGGTGTCTGTAAGTTGTAATTTCAGCTGTAATTCTTATTTCTGAGCTTTATGTTTTTTCAAATACATCTCACTTTTTATATTTTTTCTTTCTTTCTTGATTTTCTTCTCTCTTCTTTTTCTTCTTTCTTCCTTTCTTTTGTCTTACTCCCTTCCTCCCCTCCAACCACTGAGCTACATCTCCAGCCCCACCCACCTGTTTTTAAATTTTGAGATAGTCTTGCTCCTCTTCCTAAGGCTAGCCTTGAACTTGTGATTTACCTGCCTCAGCCTCCTGAATAGCTGGGGTTACAGGCATGCACCATTGTGCCCAGCTTCCTCTTTTCTTTCTGTACGCATTACACAAAGTTATTCTGTGCGCAAATGAAATCCAGAGGCTCTAAATCTATTTTGTTGTTTCTGTGACATCATTCAAGCATGCTGTTTTCTTACATTAGTTTTATCTTGATGTCAGGTTTTGTGCCGTTTTCTCTGTGAGAGCCCAAGACCCTAACTGGAAGACACCTTCCTTAAGAGAGTTCCCCTCTGCAGATGCCAGGATCCAACCCAGTGCTGACCCTCTGAGGCCCTCCTCTGGCCAGCTCCTCCAGGCCCCACATCAGTCAGTCTCTGTGGCTGTGTCATTCCCGTCAGGTCAGGCAACGTCCCTTGCCTTCACCTGGGACCTTCTTGGCACTTCTAGTAATTTTGTAATTGCAGTTGGTTGTTTGTTGCCAGGGCCTGATTGTACAGATACCTGATAAAGCCCAGGCCTGGGGAGCAGCGGCTTGGAGAGGAGAGAAGAGAGGCAAAGGCAGGAGGGCAGGTGACATGTGCCTGAGCTCCTTCTCAGACCAGGTTTTCTCCTGCTGGCCCACATGGTCTGAGGTGGCAGGTCGCCTCTTTGTGGGGCCAGAATTTGTGCTGGAACCAAGGCTTCCAACTCTAAATAATGTCCTTTTCATCCAATATGGAGAGTGTGTGTGTGGAATAATCACTGTACTAGTAAAGGGGGTCCTGGCCTCTGAGGGAATTCAGTGCCTTGCCTGGCAAGTGGGGTAGCTGGGTATGACTCTGAGATTGCTTTAAGCCTTAGGCACAGCCACTGCAGAAGTGTTTAATACTGTCAAAACGCAGCAAGGCCTTTTTCCACTTCATTCTAGGCCCTTTTTCAATATAGTAATTGTTTTACAAAACAATTCCATGTATAGTGTCCATTCAGGCTGAGGTGGAAAGACTGTGTTGAAAGTAGGGGCATAAGTAGACAACTAATTTGGGGATTGTGTCATGTTTGATCTGTATTTTATTTTAGAGGCAAGAGTATAGCTCTACCAGCCTGAGAACCAGCAAGGCCAACGTAAAGGTGGTCCTTTTGCACCTTTTTTTATCTCTGGAAAGAGTGTTGAAAGACCTCCATTAGGCACAAACAAAGAAGTGCTCATCTTAACTTTCATGTTAAATGAGATGTCATTGACATCCCCTTGGGTGTGAACAGTCTTGTCTTCCTTCTGCTGTCTTGGCTCTTTGTCTTTCACACTCATAACCCAGAGAGGACAGGCTGGGTGCCCAGCTCCTGGGCACACTTCAAAGTACGCTTAGTGATGGTGTCTGTTTGTGTTAGAGCTTTCACTTAAAGTAAAAATTTCTTTTCCTATCAATTAATTCTTTTGTGTCGAAGTGGAGAACAGTTCAAAACTTCCATTAATTGAAGCTTTGTGGATTTCGTGTAAAAGAGTAAAGTCATTATCCACATTTTGAAAGACCTACTTTATAGTTAGATTGTTGATATTTATCGAGGCATTGCCCAGAATAGTCTGGCGACAGACAACTACTTCTTTCTGAAAGAAACCTTTAAGCTCTCTTGTGTGAAAACAGTGGTGGTGGAGGTGGTGGTGTGGGGGGGATTACAACTTTTTTGGTTACTGATTCCCCTTCCTTTTGCCCTCTATACCTGGGCCTGCGTCTTGAGTAGGAGAGCTTCTGAAGAAAAGTGTAAGTAGAATGTGTAGGATCATCACTGTATGCTTCCAACATTACTATTTAATATGCATTTCCTTAATCTTCTGAACTGCATTCTGCTCAATAAAAATTTATTGAACACCTAGTATGTGCCAGGCCCTGTGCTACATTCTAAGAAAACCAAAATCAGTAATTCTGGTCCCAGTTTTCAAAGAGTTTGCAGTCTAAAGATAAAAACATCAAAATAAAACATCAAAATGTTCTGGCATGCCTCATGTATCCTGTGAGTGCAGAGTAGAGAAGTAATGCTGGAGAGGGAAAGCTGAAGCACCTGGGATGGTTTCACAAAGCAGGGGACACTCTGCAGTAGGGCTTTGAAGGCGAGAATTGTATGGACACAAGAATGGGTCGGGTCAGGTGTCAGCCAGACTGGCCAGAGGTGATACCAGACACACACAGCTGTGTCTGAGGAAAGTCTTAGGAAGCACCTAAATGGCTCAGAACCCTGAAGGCAGTGGCTCTGAGCTCACCTGCTGACACATCTCTAAGCCAGCTGTGAGACAGAAAAAACAGGCCAGTTTGTACCTGGCAGGTGTTTCTGCCACTTGGCAGAAGGTCCCCAAGACTGTTTTTTATCAGCATAGTAGCTTTAGCTTTTCACTACTTTGTAGAAACTGGGGTCTGTTGAAATAGGATTCGTTGTTCTCCTTGCTCTGTGACCCCTGGGGCTCCCCTGCTAGAACAGCTAGTTTGGGCCCTTGCTTTCAAGTCACAAGTTTCTGCTCCGTCATGTTCTCCCTCTGCCTCCTTGAGCCCCCAGAGGTCAGTAGACGCACTGAGCTATGATGGTGGCCTGAATAGAGTTACTGCCCACTTGTTCTCTGCCCCAAAGCGTGTGGAAGAATAGGCCCAGCTGGGAGGGTTTGGAAAGTTAATTGGTTTGTGTCTAGGGAACATAGTCTTAGAAAGTAATAGTAATTCGTCTTCACAATGACCAAATGCGTACTGACTGCAGGCCCGGCAATGTACAAAACTCTAACTAAAAACCCTGGAGATGAGAAAACTAAAGCACAAAAAGATTGAGTGATTTGCCTGAGGTCACACAGCTAGTAAACGGGAGGCTGAGACGGGGCTTGGTTCAAATCCAGCTCTTGTCACTGACCACACTGCCCATGGTGGAATCAGAACTGGTAGTCCCTGCACTAGACGCTCAGTTGCTCTCATGTCTGAAACCTCTGGAATTCTCCTTTCCTCCTGCCTTCACATCTTTGCTTCATCACCCCCGTCTCCTCACTCACTGACTCAGCGCCATCTCTTCTTTGGTTTGTCCACCGTATTGCCACAGTGTGATCTTCTTGTTAAATTGCCCAGATCATCTCCCTTGCTGCCTGAGACCTTCTGTGGCATCCCTGCCTATTCAGAATGGAAGCCACACAGTTACTCTTAACCATGCTGTTGCCCACAATTATGGAGCCTGTGGGGTGTGGCGCTGTTATCCACATACAGGACTGTCCCTGTGCTCTGTCCCCTTTCCCTTCACCACCTGCCCCAGCCAGGCCCTCAGGATTCTGCCAAATCATCACTTGCAATTGGGAATCTCTAAAACTCTCCATCTGAGTGTACAGGCTCACTGTGTCTCATTTCTGCATCCTGCAGGGTGGGGGGGTGGCCAGACGTCCTTCTAGCACCTGTAGCTCATCCAGGGTGAGGCTGTCTGTGTACACCTGGACACCTCATTCCAGCAGCTCCTCAGTTCTGCTGAGGGAACACTGTGCAACATTGCCTGTTCCTTATGGAGCATGCATAACTTGGGGGATGGCAGACATAAACTCAGCAAGCTATAAGTCAGTCCTGTGTTACAGCTGTGGTGAGAAAGGAAGGTCATGGTTCTCCATGAGTGTAGCAGGACACTCTACTGTTCCTGAGTGTCGGGTCTTCTTAGTGAGAGCAGAGACAGCAGTGTCAGCTTCTCTGGGAAATTAATGTCTGGGCCAAGGCTGTAAGTGAGCGTAAGTGAGAGAGGTGAGAACTGAGATGCGGACATCCCAGAACATGGACATGGCCTGAGCAGATACCAGGGGAGGGAAGGCCTGTGCGTCAAGGGGATTGGTGAGGAGGACAAAGGGAGGCAGGTTAAGTTCCCTAGGGTCCCACAGGGCCAAGGTAAGGACTTTGGGTTTTGTGTTAAAAGCAGCAGGAATCTACCTCAACTTTCCAAGCAGGGAATTCCAAAAAGATGACTGGCTGCTGAGAGGAGGACTGCAGGGGGCCAAGTGCAGAAGTGGAGGCTCAGCCACTATAAAACCCCAAGAGGTGGACACATGGGCCTGGGGCCTAGGCATGGACCAGGGATAGGAAGGGCCCAGGACACCTGGTGTGTGCCAGGAGCTGCCAGATGACTTGGCACTTAGTTAAGGATGTGGATGCTGGCTAGACCCTAGCCACCTTCCCCTGGTACCTTCAACGAGGTCTGCACCACCAGGCTCTGGAGGCTCACTGCCAGGTCGGCTCCTCAAGAGCACAGCACAGATCCCTCCATCTCTTCCCATGTATGCTGTGCTTTGTCCGGGTGTAAGAGAGCAGCATGAGGGTTTACCATTCTTATCAGTGACTCCAAAGCTGACTTGTTAGAAATGATTATTAAAATGCCATTATGAGGATAAGCCTTAGAACAGATCTTACACAGATGAATCACACGTAAGTCATGGGTAGGTAGGAATGTTAGAAGTTACTGAGTTGTCTAACGGCATCAGTTGCTTTTAAAACTGTCCCTCTGGTTGCAGTTTGACGTACACATGCAGTCTTATAAATAAGCCACCAAGTGCTTTGTGAGACGTGCACCCCCCATGGGCACCAACTTGCAGGGAGCATATCCTGCCAAGCTTCAGTCACACTTTGTCTGTTTGTAGTTTAATTACTTCGGAAAACAGAATATTAATTTTGATATGTGATTAGAAAATTTTTTTTTGTAGGCTTTACCACCAGCACCTGTTCAGAATCACACAAATAAGCATCAGGTATTCAATGCATCTCTTCAAGACCATATTTATCCGAGCTGTTTTGGGAATACTCCAGAGTGGAATAGTTCTAAATTTATAAGTCTTTGGGGATCAGAAGTGATGAATGATAAGAACTGGAATCCTGGCACTTTCTTGCCAGATACAATTTCTGGTAAGGAATTTGTTAAAACTTTCTTAAGGTTTTAAAATAACCCAAGCCGAGTAGATGACCATCTTTGTTGCAATCTCCCTGGATGCCCAGGTATAGCCATGTGGCTGCTACCTCTCCCTCTGTCTCCAGCAGAGGCCGGAGGCCTGTCATCCCGTTCCATTCTTTCACATTTGCCACCAGTCAGCCGTTGCATTGGCTGAACCGAGCAAGGCTCTGGCTCCGTGGCTGGTCATCAGCACAGTGGGCTGCGATGGTGTGGCATCATGCTTTGCAGGGTTTGGTCTCCAAGGCTTTTACCTAGCCTTTAGTTCTTGAGCAGTGGAGACAGCCAGACCTCAGTCCAGAGCACAGGGGCAAGAGGACAGGGCCATGGTCTGCTCGAATGCTTGCGTTCCTTTTCTCTGGTTTCTGTATTGACCCTATATGGGATCTCTCCCCTCCAAAGCTCCTTCCTCCCAGCTGCCTCAGCTACTGAGCTCGGCTGTCGTTTCAGTTTCAGGGTCAGGGGCTCCTAATGAGGGGCTGGTACCTATGCCTCCTCTCTGTCTTCCTGTGGCTAGAGCTCCTGGTAGCCCACACCCTGCCCTGCATGTACTCAGAACAGAAGCTAGACTTGACATCCCGATCTGTGCTTGGAAAGGATCTCTAGCTGTGTGACCTTGGGCAAGTTGCTTAGCCTCTATGAGCCTCAGTTTCTTCATCTTTAGAATAACAATACCAACCTCAGAAAATAGTTTTAAGACATTAACTTTGAAAAGCACCTAGCACAGGAATTGGCACATAATAGGTGCTCAATAAAATTTTTTTCCCTAGAATAAAGGCTGGTTGACTAGCATCACCCCAAAGGAGTCATGACTTCAGTGGCAGCCCCAGTCTCAAGTGCTCAGTCCTCAGCATGCCCGTTAGGGTTTCACTAAGATGCTGTTTCTCTTAGAAGCTTTAATTTTCCCATTCTTCTCTGAAGGGAGTGACATATTAGGGCCAGCACTCTCAGAAGCAAGCCCTGGAACCCTTCCACCTCCATCTAGCAACGAGGCACCTGCAGTTTCGGATAGTAAAGAGAAAAAAAGTGCTGCAAAAAAGAAATGTTTGTACAATTTCCAAGATGCTTTTATGGAAGCAAACAAAGTTGTCATGGCCACCTCCTCCGCCACATCCTCTGTGTCCTGCACAGCCACCACGGTGCAGTCAAGCAACAGCCAGTTCAAGGTGTCGTCCAAGAGACCCCCATCGATAGGTAAGGCCCCATAGCCCTTGGGACCCAGAGCCACTTGACTTATTTGCTTCTTCCATCTGCGCATTGTCTTTTACATGGCTTAGCCAGAGGCACAGATGTAATGAACACACAAAAATGTTCGTGCACAAAGCTCTGACCTCAGGTTTTGATTGGAATTTCAGCTGTCACTCTGAATGCCCTGGGCTTCTCTGCACTGTATCTTACCTCCTTTCTCAACACTTACTGTTCATGATGGGAAGAGGTCATTGCTTTCTGAGTGTGTGATAGATTCCTTGGAAGCTGCTTTAGGAAAATGCCAAGCAGAAGAGAACAGGTGCAAATTGACAGGGCTGCCTGTCACCCAGCCTCCTGTTACTCAGATAAATCCACTTGCCATCAGTAAAAAGGGGCCTGAAAGCCAGGAAGTTACCAGAGACCCTGGGCAAATGTCAAAGGGACACAGGAGCTGACTTGAGAGGGCCTCATCAGCGAAAGTTGAGACAGTGTGATCATTAAAACAATAACAATAGACCAGCTTATTAAAAGTGGGAGGCACGGGGCTGGAGTTTTGGCTCAATGGTAGAGCGCTTGCTTAGCATGTGTAAGGCATTGGGTTTGATTCTGAGCACCGCATATAAATACATGAATAAAATAAAGGTCCATCGACATCTTTAAAAAAAATTTTTTTTTTTTTTTTAAAGGGAGGCAGAGGAAAGGTGTGTTGGATTCTAGCATGCAGAGAAAGGCCTCCATAGGGATGGTAGAGCCAGTCATTTAGAGGGAAAATGCTTTTTTAACAGAAGCACATTACCATTCAGTGTGTACGAAGGATAGAAGCAGAAAGTCACCACTCTGAAGCCAGTAGCGTAGCAGCTGATTGAAGTCAGCGTTCAGGGGATATTGAAATGAGGAATGCCAGTTCGGGGAATACAACATTTCTACTTTCCAAAAGGAGCACCCCCAGGGATTGACCCATTACAGCCAGGAATAGGGGATCCTTCTGAAGGAAGCTGTCAGCCCTGCTTGACAGGTGCAGAGCCGTAGACCTTGGGTGCTTCCTGTTGCTGTGAAAACATTGAGGAACCAGTTCATTTTGCAAGATTCATGCCCAGACCATTTCACTTGACTCTAACAAGACAAGACGATTCAGATTGTCATGGCCTCTCAAAGATGCCTATGTTGTGGGGCTGGGGTTGTAGCTCAGTGGTGGGGTGCTTGCCTTGCACATATGAGGCACTGGGTTCAATCCTCAGCACCACATAAAAATAAATAAATGTGCCCATCTACAACTTAAGAAAAAAATTCCCATGTTGTAAAAGGAAAGAAGTTCATAAGGTGCTGGGGGGCAAGGGGGCATTGGGGCTGAAGGTCCTGGGGTGTTGGAAGCCTGAGCACAGACTGGGTGAACATTGGGTGGCAGCTCTGTGCTGGTGCTGGATGTCTGTGGCTGGCAACAGGCCCACTGGGGACCTAGGAGCCTGCAGTCAGGCATGAGGCCAGGTACTATGTACTCCAGAGTTCAGGCCAAAAACAGGTGTGTATATGGAGAAATAAAGTAAATATGACAAAGGATGAACAGGTATTCTTTGTACTATTCCTTCAAATTTTCTCTAGGTCTGAACATTTTTACAATAAAACATTGATGAAGGAAATGTAATTGTAGGAAACACGAACAATCTGTGTTTCCTCAGCCCTCGGCAGCCTCTCTCGCCTCTCTGTGTGCAGGTGATGTCTTTCATGGCCTCAACAAGGAGGACCACAGACACTCAGCACCTGCTGCCCCGAGGAACAGCCCCACAGGCCTGGCCCCGCTTCCAGCCCTCTCTCCTGCCTCGCTCTCCCCAGCCTCCACACCTCACCTTGCAAATCTTGCAGCCCCATCATTCCCCAAAACTGCAACCACAGCTCCTGGGTTTGTGGACACGCGTAAGACCTTCTGCCCTGCCCCCATGGCACCCCCGCCCACCACCACAGATGGCTCCATCAGCGCCCCTCCCAGTGTCTGCAGGTGAGCTGCGGATTCCCAGGCCCCAGTGGGGAGGACTGAGGGCACTTTGGAGACAGGGTGCTGTGCCCTGGGGCCTCATTGTTGATAAGTCCCATAAAATGCAAATGGAGTGCAGGGGGACCTCCCCAGTAAAGGCCACAGAGAGGGGGCTCCCATCTCAGCCTCTAGTTTTTCAGAGGGAAGAATAGAGGTCCTAGCTGCTGTGGACCTCTGGCTACTGGTAACATCATGGGTGTAATACTCGTTTGTTTTTAAGGCGTATTTGTTACCTGGATAGAATCAGAAGAACTTGTACAGCATTTATAGTGCAGCAGAGACCATACTCCACAGAGGTTTTTTTTTGTTTTGTTTTTTGTTTTTAATAAAAGACCATGTCTGTTACCTTCAAATTAGCCTGTTTGAAGCCCCCCACACCCCCTAGTGAGGAAGCAGTGGTAGCAGCAACAGTCAGGATAGTAGAAGGAGTTGTTCAGGGGCACCTTACTAGCACCACGAATGACAGCTGCATGCTGTGCCTCCTGCCTGGACAACCAGGTCCTGTGGCCGCACTGTCTTTGCTGACTGTGTGTGGCAGTGACTGCTGTCCACTGCCTCTGTCTGAAATGGGCAGAGCAGCAGGGGGTCTTGAGGAGCAGTGCTGAGTCAGTGCCTCCAGGGTGAGCTGCTGGCTAATAAGCTGTGTGCATTTCTGCAGTGACCCTGACTGTGAAGGGCACCGCTGCGAGAACGGTGTCTATGACCCACAGCAGGATGATGGGGACGAGAGTGCAGAGGAGGACAGCTGCTCTGAGCATAGCTCCAGCACCTCAACATCAACCAATCAAAAGGAGGGCAAGTACTGTGACTGCTGCTACTGTGAGTTCTTCGGACACGGCGGGGTGAGTGTGCACAGTCAGCATGTGCTGACATGAGAATGGCATGGCCTGAAGACTCTTCTGTAGGACTGCCACGCTAGGTTGAACCTGGAGCATGGTCGTGCTGTGTGCAGAGCTATAACTATAGCAGTTAAAACCAAGCCTGAAGCAGCACTTCCACTGCCATGTTGTAAAATTTTAAAGAAACGAGGTTTTATCACTGCATTTTTATATTTGTGATTTTTTTTTTAAGTAGTCAGTGAAGTAGGGGGAGATCCTTGACTACAGTCAGTGGGGAATTGCTCACCAAGCTACAAGTGCACATAGGAGAATTGTGCTGTGTGCACAGTCAAGTCCTCTCGTGGAACAAATGACACTAAGGGTGTTGATACACCTGCTTGCTTGGACATTTTTCAGGCCAATAATATTGTTCCTACCAGCAAATACTAGCCCTGCTTCTTACAGGATGGGCTGTGGGAAATGCAGGTGCATGTAGTAGTAGTTTTCTGCTTTAGTTCTGTCTGAATTTCCTAAAATGTGTGCATAATTACCTTTAACAATAAGAGGCTTGGCAGAAGGACCAGGGAGCAATGTTTTTCCTTTTTCAGCCCTGGGAAAGAAACCTGCAAGCAGATGGAAAGATACTGCAGACAGATTTATTGATATGAAAGGGTAGACACATTGTACTAAATAAAAAAACAGATTAATCAGTATGTGTAATTGTTTCTTTTTGGTTTAAAAAAAATTGTGTGTGTATTTTACCAGATTTTCACAAACATATAAAACTTGAGGAGAAGGTGCCAAAAATAATTTTTAGGTTAGTGATACTTGGTTCTTCTGCCATCTTATTTCCTTGTTTTTCACAAGAGCATGCACTAGTTAAGTAATTTTTTTAAGAAGAGGTTATTTTTGGAGATGTTTTGAGATTTGTTAAATTGGAACTGTGGCTTAATGTGATTGTGCCATTATGTGTCCTAGCCTCCCGCTGCTCCAACAAGTAGAAATTATGCAGAAATGCGGGAAAAGCTTCGTTTGCGGCTGACCAAGAGGAAAGAAGAGCAACCTAAAAAAATGGATCAGATCTCGGAACGAGAAAGTGTTGTTGACCATCGAAGGGTAGAGGATTTGTTACAGTTTATAAACAGCTCAGAGACCAAGCCAGTAAGCAGTACTCGGGCAGCCAAGCGTGCGAGGCATAAGCAGAGAAAGGCAAGTGCGTCTCCGGGTACAAGAGTGCTGCGCCCAGGAGGGCCAGGCTGGGAGCTTATTGACGCCCCAGCCCTTTGGCTTGAGAGCCCCTGTCTTTCTCCAGTGACCTGGACTGAGCGATGGTTAAAATCTTACTTTGTGTGTGTTTTCCGGAAACCACTTCCTTTTTGTGTCATGGGTTTGTAGTAGAACTCATATAAGCCTTTGGGTCCTGTGCTAGCCTCCATGGGATAGCAGCAGACCCTGCAGCACTGTGGGCATCTTCTTTTCCAAGGAGTTAGACAAGAAGGGTCTCTCTGGGGTGGAGAATAAAGAAGACCCCTGTAGGTGCATGAAGTGCCTTTGAGATATGATGGGGGACTCTTACCTTCCAGACACAGGTCCTACCCACTGTGCATTCCAGATTTGGGCCACAACATGGCCTTGACATAAAGAGGGTAAGAGTGAGGCGACCAGGTTGGTGGAAAGCCCTGGCTGACAAAGAGGAAAGAAGAGCAACCCTCACCAGAGGGCATGTGGTGTCACAAGAAACAGATGTCTGCTTATCCAGTGATAGGGCTGTGAATAGACTGACATGTAGCCTGTCAGGCAAACAGAGCATTCAGAGGCTATGGGAATGAATCTGTTATTTACCAACCCCTTCTGTGACATAAAAATTCTCTTAGAAGGTCTAAGGAGCCCATGTATCAGAGCAATTCCAAAAAGCCTCCTTGTTTCGACTCCTGAACAACATCTGGTTCCAAGAGCCAGACACAAGCAGGCAGATGTTGGCTGCATAGAGGGGAATCTATGAATGAAGGTTCTGGCAGTAGGACAGTTAACTTGGGAAGCAGAGCAAGGTTCCTGCCTTCAGGGTGGTCAAAGACATGAGAACAATGGCATCATGGACCAGAAGTTGGGCTGTGTTGCCGCTTTTAGCCTCATTATGCATGATTCTGAGGTGATTTTTCAGTAGGCAGATAAGCCACACAGTCCTGAAAAGGAGGACCACCTGACTTTGAGGGCTAATCAGGGACTTGGGGGGCCTGTGCTGGGCTGGGCTCAGAAGATCTAAATTTGCTGAGCCTACTCAGGGACAGCAAGGTAGGTTCTCTATCCAGAGTGGTCAGTGGCCTTGGAGACCTCGCAGTGCTTTGTAGGTATTCTCTCCACCCCAGGCTCCTGTCTCGGACCTCACAGGCAGCCTGGATCCAGACCTGCATCATGCTCATATTGGTTAATTTCCTCTCCAGTTGCAGAGCAAAACTGATGCCTTATTTGCCATGTAACATTGAATATTTCTGAAAGCCATTTGTTCTTTCACACTCATAAAAATATATTGGTACTTTGGTTTATCTGCCAGTGTGGGAAAAAGCTTCTAGTTTTTTGGCACTTTTTGCACTGTCCGGTTGATGCTGATGAATGGATCAGCATCAGCACCCACAGGCAGAGGAGCTTGTTGAGAGCCCAGTCTGCATGGCAGACAGTCACTGCTGTTGACCCTCCGTGTACCAAGCTTCACCACCCTCTGGCCGGGCAGCACATGCAAGGAGCAGCCAGTCTCCCAGACTCAGCCAGAGGCTATAAAGCAGCTTATGTTAGCCCACCCCAACCCCATACTCCTCCTGTAAAAGTAAGCATATTCCTTGGTAGATACATAAAATCTAACCATTCTTTAGGGCAAAATGATTGGAATTAGGTATTTTAAGTTTCTGACTTCTTATTGCCTCTTCCAAAGTTTATGTTCCACTGTGTGATTCATTTCTTAAACTCTTCAGTTTTCTGTACTTATCATCAGTTTTTAGATTCTTACAATGGTCTTAAGCCACCTGTTTCTCTTCTTTTGCATCAATAGCTGGAGGAGAAGGCACGCCTGGAAGCTGAGGCCAGGGCACGGGAGCATCTGCACCACCAGGAGGAGCAGAGGCGGCGGGAGGAGGAGGAGGAGGAAGAAGAGGAGGAGGAGCATCATTTCAAGGAAGAATTTCAGCGGCTTCAAGAGCTTCAGAAGCTAAGAACTGTAAAGAAGAAGAAGAAGGAGAGGCCAAGTAAAGACTGTCCCAAACTGGACATGCTTGCTAGAAACTTCCAGGCAGTGACAGAGTCTGTCCCTAACTCTGAAAATATTCACAATGGCTCAGTAGAGCAATCCGAAGAACCAGAAACCTCGTCTCTCTCCCCTTCAACACATGTGAACCACTCAGAGCCCAGGCCAGGGCTGGGAGCGGATGGGGATGCTGCAGACCCTGTTGAAGCCACAGACTCCAAACTCCTCCTCCCTAGGGAGGTCAATGGGAAGCAGCATGAGCCATTAGCTTTTTTCTTGGACATGATGCATCACCATAAAGAGGGAAATGGGAAACAGAAGCTAAAGCAGACCAGTAAGGCCAGTAGCGAGCCAGCAAGGAAGCCCACAGAGCCCCCCAAAGCCACAGAGGGTCAGCCCAAGCCCCGGGCCCAGACTGAGGCAAAGGCTAAAGTGGTTGAACTCACTTCCCTCTCAGAGCAGAAAAGAGAAGAGAGAAAAGTTAATAGTAATAACAATAACAAAAAGCAGCTAAACCACATCAAGGAGGAGAAGTCAAGCCCAGCCCTCCAGGAGCCCCCATCTCCCAGCCAACATCAGCAGAACGGGCGGCTCATACTGGCAGATTCTCCCCAGCCAAAGGGCAAGAACAAGAAAAGTAAGAAGAAGAAAGGAGAGCGAGCCAGCAGTTCAATTGGTAAATACAAAACGTGGAGTGTTTCTAGCCTGTGGGTGGTTACTGTTCTTTGTGAGACAGTCACGTGAGGCAGGCACTGGGCCTCGCCTCTGTGATAGTCACCCTGGTGGGTGGGATGCTCTTGCCTGTCCTTGACTATGTGCCTTTTGTGACTTTTTCACCAACAGTGAGGGTCCCATAGTCATGGCTATCATATTTTTGTTATTTTGAAACACTTTTAGACTTATCAAAAAGCTATTAAGTGTATGCAGATTTTTTCTGAATATTTTTGATGTGTGGTGGTTGGATCTGCATATGGGGGACCTTTCCATAGTCAGGTTGATGTTTCCCCTGTGCGACCAATAAGCTAGGGTCTGTGCTATGAACTGGGAGTCCAGGGGTGCTCTTTTGCCTTTGCCCTTGCTGTGTTGGTAGCAGCCCCTCTGAGGTGAGAGCCCAAGTCCCACTGTCCACCGCACACCTACTGATTTGCCCAGCCCTAGAACACACATGAAGAACTTGCAGAATTGCCTGCTCTTGCCATTGTGAAAACTGTAGACTTCACCTGCTTTTGCTTTTTCTCCTTTTTTATAAATTTAATGTATTCTGAGAAACATTCCAAATCAGTTCCTAGAGATTTTCCTCATTCTTACAGCTGCATAATATTTATATTTTAAATGTCTGCACTTTATTCAACTGTTGCCCTATGTGCAGCAATTAAGGTTGCTGCCAGTACTTTGAAATTATAAACAGTGCTACAGTGAACACTGTTGTGTGTGTCTGCTTTCAAGTTGTTTGGAAGTGTGTCTTCACAGTAATTTCTTGGGAGAGATACTGCTGGATCAAAAGGTAAGTGCGTAGGTAGTTTTGCTAAGTCACCTCCAAGTTCTACCCCAAACCTCCAGTCAGTCCTACCCAGCAGCATCTGAGTAAATTTGCCACAATCTGGCCAACAGAGTATGAGTTATTTACTTATTTATTTTTGGTGGTACTGGTGATGGAATCCTGGGTGTTGCTCATGCTGTGCAAAAGCTGTCCTCTGAGCAGCATCTCCTGTAGGTCCAGTAGTGTGCCACCACTCCTGGCCAGGCTTTTGTTTCATTTTGCTTGTGACACTAGGGATTGAATCCAGGACCTCAGTCATGCTAGGCAAGCACTGAACTACATCTCCAACTTCTTTTTTAAAATATTGAGACAGGATCTTGCAAAATTGCCCAGGCTGGCCTTGATCTTGGGATCCTCCTGCCTCAGACTTCAGAATAGCGGGGATTACAGGTGTGCACCACTGTGCTTGCCTTGTTTATTCTGTTTTTAAGAATTCTTTATGTATTAGGGATATTGTCCTTTTAACTAGGGAATATGCTACAGATGTTTTCTCCAAATTCATATGTTGTCTTCTGACTTTCTTAATGTTTTTCAGCCATATGGAAATTTCCTTTTTCGCTCTTACATAGTCAGCATTATTATTAATCTTTAATTGCCTTTGGAGTTTGAATGACTGGTAGAAAGTCATACCCTAATCCAGGGTTAAAGAAAAATGTGCCCATGTTTCCTGCTAGTGATTGAGTGGTTCCTCCCCACATCCCCAGGCCCATTTAGATCTTGTGTATGGTGTGAGGATGGAACTGTTTTACCTTTTTCCAAATTGTTAGTGAACCACTTGTCTCATCACCAGTTACTGAGAAGTTAGTACTGCACTCGAGACTCGAGCAGTTTCTGTGTATACTGGGCTCTGTTTCTGCACTTGCTGTTCTCTGCCTGTTTAGCTCTGTGCCAGTATTGCATTGAATGAGTGTGTTAGAGGCTTTGTGTGTTATAAATGTTGCGTGGGCTCTTCTCTCCTTTAATTTTAATTAATTTTGGTAATTATTTTATTAAATAATTACTAAAATTAATTTAATCTGTTTCTTTTTGATTTCTTTAATGTGGCTAGAATCAGATCTCTGCTGGAGAGTGCTGCCCAGCGGGTTATGGTATGTGTGACAGCTGTCGACTCTGTTAACGCCACATCCTCTACTTCAGCCACCTGTTTCACAATTTGGGTATTATTGCTGGCTTTCTGGGGGTTTCCAGGTGTGTTGTGTATCTGGGTCAAGAAATCTCTTCTTCTCCTTTTCCAATCTTTCTTTATATGCTTTCTTGTGTTTAGCTGAACTTTTCCTGATTGTAGGAGTTTCCACATGAATGTTAAGTTACTGGCCCTAGGACTAAGGTTTATATATTTTATCATGCTGGGAAAATATCCAATGCCTCCTCCATTGCTTGCATGTGTTTGTGAGGAATGGGTGTTGAGTTTTATCAGTGGTATTCTAGAGTCCCTGAAGATAATCATGACTTTTCTTCTGAGGCCTATTCATGTGCTGTGTATTTCTACTAAATCTGCTTACGTTGCATTGCTCTCAGATTCCTGGAATAAAGCTCACTTGTGGCGAATTTTATTCTTTGATTTCGGAGTTCTATTTGCTGTTACTTTAATTCGTGAGAGACAGGACTCAGTGACTTCCTTTTTTCTAATTTTTTTGGGGTGTGTGTGTACTGCTTAAATCAACTTTGGGTATCAATATTATACTTGCTTCAAAAAAAGAATTAGTAAACTTTGTTGTAGAATAATTCCTGCTATATTGAAAATGTCTAGATGTTTGATAGAATTCTCCTTTGTAGTCCTTGGGCCTGGTGGGTTTTGTTTTTCTTATTTTTTTGGTGAGGTGGTTTCTTGGTAATTTTTTCTCTCCTCATGGAAAATGTTCTCATATTTCTTCATATATTGAAGTTAATTTTGGGAGAACTGCCTTCTCATAGTAAGTTTTCCTTTTCACCTTAATTTTTAAATGTGTTTGCAGAGATGTCTACAAACTAGAATTATTACTTACTTTAAATATCTTCTCATTGTTGTTTGTCCTCATCATTCCTTATTTTCTCTATCTGTGCTGTCTTCCTGTTTGGCCTAAGTTAGTGATTTGTTGTTGTTTTTTATCATACTCTTGTAAATTAGTTTTACCTTTTTTCTCTACCTCATTAACTCTATTCTATTTGCTCCATGAACTCTCATTTTACTTTATTCTTTCTCTTGGTGTATTTTGTTTGTTTGTTTTTTAATTGAATTCAAGGTATCTCTACCACTAAGCTACACATCCTGGCCCTTTCCATTTTATTTTCACACAGAATTTCACTAATTTGCCCAGGTTGGCCAAAAACTTGCAACCCTCCTCCCTCAGCTTCCCAGTTCGCACCACCATGCCCAAACTTATTTCTAACTTTTTGATTTAGAAATTTAATTAGTTTTCATTTCCCCTATTTTTATTGATAAAGGTGGATTGGCTTTTGGAATTTTCCTCTAATCGTTGCTTCAAATATATCCAGTAGTTTTGATTTTTGTATATATAGTTATAATTTTTCCATTAGTTTTCAGTTTTAGAAATTCTGTGATTTCTACTGGGCAAGGTGGTGTATACCTATGATCCCTGAAACTGGAGAGGTTATAGCAGGATGGCAAGTCTGAGGCCAGCCTCAGCAACTTAGTAAGGTCCTCCCTCAAAATAAAAGATAAAGGCAAGTGCAGTGGCACATGCCGGTAATCCCAGAGGCTCAGGAGGCTGAGGCAGGAGAATTGCAAGTTTAAAGCCAGCCTCAACAACTTAGTGAGGCCATGAGCAACTCGGTAAGACCCTCTCTCTAAATAAAATATATAAAAGGTGGCTCTTGGGTTGTATCTCAGTAGTAGAGTGCTTGCCTCACACATGTGAGGCACTGGGTTTAATCCTCAGCATCACATAAAAATAAATGAATAAATAAAGATATTATGTCCATGGGGCTGGGCTGGTGGCTCAGTGGTAGAGTGCTTGCTTAGCATGCATGAGGCGCACTGGGTTTGATCCTGATCCTCGGCATCACATAAAAACAAACTAAAACAAAAAAAATAAATAAATAAGTTTTTTTTTTTTTAAATTTTTAATATTTATTTCTCAGTTTTCGGCGGACACAACATCTTTATTTGTATGTGGTGCTGAGGATCGAACCCGGGCCGCACGCATGCCAGGCGAGCGCGCTACCGCTTGAGCCACATCCCCAGCCCAAATAAGTATTTTTTTAAAAAAGATATTGTGTCCATCTACAACTAAAAAATATTTTTTAAAAAAGGACTGGGACGTGTCAGGTACAACCAGAGAAATGGGAAGTTTTGTCTGCTCCATTTGTGTAATTAATAATTTATATTTATTATTAAAAATTAATAATTTTTTTAAAGGGCTGGGGATATGGCTCAGTGATTAAGTGCCCCTGAGTTTAATCCCTGGTATTTATTAATTGATTGATTGATTTTAAAAAAGGGGTAGGGATGTGTCTGATTGTTAAAGCACCACTTGGGTTCAGTACCCAGCACCATAATAAAAGAAAGAAATCCTGTGATCTCCATGCAACTTTTTACCTTTCACCTGTAGTGTAGCAGCCAACTTTTATGTTTCAGGAGGGAGAACCATGTTGGGTTTTTTGCATTGTAATCAGAGTGGCGGTGTTCAGAATAATTCTGCTTCATGAAATTTACTGATATTTTCTGTGTGAGCTAGTGTATCAGCCCTCCATTGTTGTAACAAAGTGCCTGAGGTGACCAGCATTTTAAAAGGAAAGGTTTATTTTGGCTCAGCTGGGCTCAGCCTGATTTCAGTTGGCTAGCCTCCAGCTAGGACCTGTGGTGAGGCAGCACCTTAAGAGGAGCACCTTAGTAGGAGCACCTTGCAGAGGAGGCCTGTTCACTTCAGGGCAGCCAGGAGGCAAAAAGATGTTCCAGTCCCTCTCAAGGTCACACTGCAGTCCCTCTCAAGGTCACACCCCAGTGACCTAACTTCCTCCTAAAGTTTTTACCATCTCTCAATAATAGCGTCAGCCTGAGGGCACACCTGAGATGCAAATTGTCGCACCTAGTGTTGGCTTTGAAAATGTGCCCCGTGAGCTTGAGGTAAAAGTGCACTTTCTGTCTCATGGTGTAAAATTCAGTGTACACCTGTGTAATGTGTAGGCCTTCTGCC